TGCAGTGATCGGAACACGACTCCCATAAGATGTAATCGAAAACTTAGGAATTAAAAAGCAGTATTTTGGAGCGATAGTCAAAAAATTCTACATTGGCTTACCTCATAAAAACCGTTAAACAATTAAACAAGGACACACAATTGACAAAACGTGTACTTTTGCGACAGTCTTCCGCTATTTGTGATTCGTTAGGACTACTCGTACCGATCGTGTAAGTGAAATTAAAGATATAACTGAAACTCACGAATGTAAATATGAACCCACAGAAATGAACCCAGCTGACCTTCAAACACGTAAAATAACTGCATCGCAATTTGAAGATTCGACATTATGGATTTATGGACACCAGTGGATAACGGACGAGCGTAAATGGCCTACGTGGACAGGACATATGGAGATAAGCACTAATATATCCAATCCAACAGGAACAGAGAGACACAAAATTGACGATAATACTGTACGCAGCGAATTTCACAGATCATAGATATGTCAAGGTATTCTAATCTACATAAAATTATAACTGTGACTGGATACGTCTTGAAATACGTAAATAATTGTCAGAAAAACGACCAGATCGACTTAGAAGTTCACAAGGTGACAGGAAGCTCAAAAGAATTTTAACAAAATAGGAAATTTCATTAGCTATGAACTTATGGATCAAAGATACACAACAAGGCAGGTTCGTGAAAGAGCTAGAACATATTTCATTGATTCCGAAAATTAAATCACTACCGCTTGTGCAACAATAACGTTTATATCTGGATGAAAGTGGAATCATACGATTAAAAAGCAGAATACAAAATTCATCTCTTTAAGAAAACGCTAAGTTTCCTATTTAATACCCAAGAACTACAAACTTACAGATTTTGTTATGAGGGACGCACCTCTAAGAAATCTACATGCAGGAGTCGGACAGACAATCATACTGGATACCAGCAATTCGACAATGTGTGAACAGTGTCTTACGTAAATGTGTACAATGCCAAAAATCATTGGTTAGCCATATAACAGACCAGAACCTCCATCGCTACCAAATGATCGAGTAAAAGACAGCATACCACCGGACATGCCTCAAATGAAAGGTAATAACTTGGGAAAAGCTCAACTGACATGTTCTTGGGGAGTTAAACCCATTCAGGAATTGTTAGGGTTCAAAGTTGCTGTTAAGAAAAAAAAAGAACGTGCCCACCCTTCATTCTTTCGGTAAGCCTCGCCAGCTTAGTACGGCAAAGTTTGCTACCGGACATGGCTCAAATGAAAGGTAATAACTTAGGGAAGGCCCCACTGGAAGGTTTTTTTGGGAGTTAGGCCCATTCGGTATTTGTAGACTTTCAAAGTTGTTGTTATAGAAAAAAATACGTCTCCACCTTACACTCTTTCGGTAAGCCTCGCCAGCTTCGTACGGCAAAGTTCGCTACCGAACATGGCTCAAATGAAAGGTAATAACTTAGGAAAGGGCCCACTAGAAGGTTTTTTTGGGAGTTAGGCCAATTCGGTATTTGTAGATTTTCAAAGTTGTTGTTATAGGAAAAATACGTCTCCACCTTACACTCTTTCGGTAAGCCTCGCCAGCTTCGTACGGCAAAGTTCGCTACCGGACATGGCTCAAATGAAAGGTAATAACTTAGGGAAGGCCCCACTGGAAGGTTTTTTTGGGAGTTAGGCCCATTCGGTATTTGTAGATTTTCAAAGTTGTTGTTATAGAAAAAAATTCGTCTGGCCACCACAGGGCTTTCGGTACTCCTCGGCAACTCCCTACGGCAAAGTTCCGAACCAGACCTAGCTCATTTTAAAGGTGTTGACCTAGGTTATTCCCCGCTTAAATATTTGTCTGGGATCCGGGCCCGTTTAACCACAGTTTTAGTTATATGTCAATTATTTGTACTGGCACATTTGACAAGGAAAGTTTCAGTTTTAATTCAATGAGTTGGTAATGATGCATGCCGTACAAAATAGTCCACGCAGGAGTTTTGTGAAAATACTTGTTCACATTAAAATATAGATAACCATTACAAGTATATCAAAATGTTTTCATTTCATATGTACAAAAATAAATATTAAAAATGATTTCAGCGAAAATACTTGATATTTGAGGATGCCGAGTTTATGGAAAGCATGTATGTAACTTTTCTATCGTGCATTGCATCTTGTTTATTCATTCCAAATTGGTTTGAATTATATATAATACGATTCCTTACAACTGCCAACAAAAAAAGTGACTGCTATCATTATTGGTATTTAGAACGGACTGAAATCCTTTGAGAATGACTACAAGCCGTGAAATTGTTAAATTCCGCTGTTGAATTACATTTAACTAAGATTTTGAGATATTTGGAACGTTTGAGTCTTATACAGTTTTTTGGTTTTTAGACATATCATCAAAATTGGCTGCTGGAAAAAAGTGGCTGCTATCTTGATTGGCTGCTAAAAGTGGCTGCCAGCTTGAGTCTAGTTATTACACCTGATAGTTTTAAAATGGAAAGTTACAAGTTATCGGCCGTGTACACTAATCAATACCCTCAGAAGTGAAGCGATGCATGAACATGCTTTATGTAATTGTGTAATAAGAGTTTTTAAACCCGACAGGAAATCGCTTGAATACCTGGACGTGTCACCTCACAATACCTCAGGGAATAATTCCTTTAGCCATGCTGGTGATCAGATAAAAGAAGGTCCGAATTTATTTAAATAAGTTTATTACATAAAAGAATTATGAACAAATTAGATTTTCGAAAACGATTTTACACGGAACACTTATTTATGACTTTGAACTTTGACTTTTTAACTAATTCCCATATAATTTCTTGTTTCAAAAACTTCGTAAAGAAAAAACAGTTTTAAAACGACAGACCATAGTTATTTAAAAAAATAATTACATTTTCCGTATCAAGTTAGTTAGTCGGATAAATGCGACTACGTTAGGTTACTGCTGGTTTTGGTCCTTTGTGGTTTATAGATATATCGGGGTTTCTAAACCGAGAAGATGTCAAAATGGCCGCACGCAGAGAATTGATACTCTAAATTTAAAATCGATGGTGATCTCTTATCTAGCAGAATAAAACTTTAATATTTATGAATTTGTGCTTTTTTATACAGAATGGACATAATATCAATTTTTTATTTTTTTGCGAAGTTTCCCTTTAACTGAACATTACGTCAATTAGTCTTTAGTGAAAATATAAGAACAGTCTATTGTTATGCGTTTACTTTTCTACATTGGCTAGAGGTATAGGGGGAGGGTTGAGATCTCATAAACATGTTTAACCCCGCTGCATTTTTGCGCCTGTCCCAAGTCAGGAGCATCTAGCCTTTGTTAGTCTTGTATTATTTTTAATTTTAGTTTCTTCTGTACAATTTGGAGTTTAGTATGGCGTTCATTATCACTGAACTAGTATATATATTTGTTTAGGGGCCTCCGGGTGCGGGAATTTCTCGCTGCATTGAAGACCTGTTGGTGACCTTCTGCTGTTGTCTGTTCTATGGTCGGGTTGTTGTCTCTTTGACACATTCCCCATTTCCATTCTCAATTTTATCTACCAACATCGCTTCGCGATGTAGCGATTAACGTCCGGAATCAACTGTACGGCGGTTATACCACGTAGTATAGAACCATTTAAACATGTAACAATAAATGACTGTTGTCAATATTTCCTTGTATTCTTACAACTGCGTATTTGCTTATTTGTAACACCAACTTATAAGAAATTCAAACATAAATTAAGGTGACTCGACTGTTGCTCGAACTTTCTTTACTGTATTAGATGTATACACAATTGCACGATAAATATCAATTATCCAGTCATCAAAATCCATCAAAGCGTCATTTGTTTGTACAAGATGAAAACGTTTCCACTCATTTAATTGTGAAATGAAGATCGTTTTGTGAATGCTCTTTGTTATCTAAAATGCATCCATTAGAACTATTTTCCTAACGCTTGTAATTTAAAGGTTTGGTTGGCTTGTTTGCTTGCTTTGTTTGTTTGTTTAAATGTTTGCTCAATCTTAATTATAATGCTTAAGCAAACATTTATACAAACAAAGCAAGCAAGCCAACAACACCTTTAAACTACAAGCATTAGGAAAATAGCTCTAATAACGTTTAATTTATTAGTATGCGATGTAGATTTAGACCGAAACAAAAACGTTGCTTTTTCGGTGACGTGGATTGGCTTAACTTTCCAAGATATATGTATTAAATGATGGCGTGTCATAGGAAAGGATAAATTTTATCCTACATATAGATGTGGATCTGGACAAATTATTAGAGAAAATAGAATTGACTATATTAGCAATAAATGCCATTTTTAAGGAATTTATTGATATATTACCTCAGAGTTTCACTCACTAAATATGCATATATAATCAATCCTTCTGACTTCATAAATTTTGTTAGAGAGTCGGCTGAATTAAGACTTTATATAATGAAAAATAATTAATTTCCTTCTGAGAAAATGCATCTCATGTACAATAGAAATGAATCGCCCTACAGTGAAAATGAAAGTCTAGTATCATTATTCGACAGTAAATATGGATCGCATAACGAAAACAGCATAGTGGAATTTGATTCAATATCAAGAAGCTGAATAACAAAACCTGTTTTAAGTTATACAGCATTAATAATTATGTTAAAAGGTACATTTTTCTACAAATGAAACTAAACTCTACTTTGAAATCTCTTGCACGCTCTGTTCGTGAACTATTCTTAATATCTATCTATTTGTGTATCAATTTTGCACCTGGATGGCTGTAGATGCGGTGAAAACCCGTCCGCATCTCATACCTATATCGAAAAACAGTACACATCATATATTATCTGTTATTTTATTAAAAAATCATGAATTTGTCGTCTGTTTATTTATCATTCTACATCAGAAATTCATCACGGATACGGTGAAAATGACATTTCAGGATTCGCACATAACATTCACTGCATATTGTATTAAAAAGCTTTTGAGATGTTATATTAGGCTTATAATTCTTTATATGTATACCTCTTTAACTTGGAATTTAGCCGACATTGTTCCAACCAAAGCTTTCTTCAAAGTGACCATTTCCGCCCTATCTTCCTGGTGATAATGAATGAAATGGACCAAACCATCCGGTTCCATTTCAAATAAAAAACTGAAAATATAAGAAATCGTACGAATATACTTAGTATAAATTTATCAATAGATACATCTAAGATTTTATACGCAAATAAGTTTCTACAATTTTATAAGAAAATAAGAATTTAAGACTTTTTTATAAGCAAATCAATTTGTACGATTTTATAAGAATAAACATTTATCAATAAATAAACAAATGTAGGACTGTTTCTAAAGTATAAAACCAGGAAACAATTTGATGGTTGAAGAAATTAAATTGTCGAACAAAATTTAGTCATACTTTTAGAAATCGAAACTGAAATATAATTCACCCTTTCTGAAAGGAAAAGAACGCGACAAAGAAGAAAAAAATAAACGACAAAAAAAAAGCATAAAACATATACATAATTAAACGAGAGACCACATTATTGTTCATATATGTAAGAATACTAGTATACCTCTTAGTAAGATCCCATTTGAAAGGATTGTCAGCATCTGCAATATAAATAGCGGTATACTTAATATATTCATTCCTATTCACACAAGGAAGCTATTAAACCAAGAGTTCCAAATGGTGAAGTTGAAATCATCCCTTCGTAAATTTTACGGACGCCATCACGAGTTGGTTGACCGTTATGGAATAACCGTTGCACAGATGATATCGGATATGTTCCTTATGTCGTAACTACAATACCCTCCCTTTTCACGAATGTGACTTACCAAATTAGACTATTTACCGGATTTGTAATAACATAAGCAACACGACGGGTGCCACATGTGGAGCAGTCCTAGATCTGCTTACCCTTCTGGAGCACCTGAGATCACCCCCAGTTCTTGGTGGGGTTCGTGTTGCTTAGTCTTTGGTTTTCTATGTTGTGTCATCTGTACTATTATTTGTCTGTTTGTCTTTTTATTTTTGGCCATGGCGTTGTCAGTTTGTTTTCGATCTATGAGTTTGACTGTCCCTCTGGTATCTTTCGGCCCTCTTTTGTTGAAGCAAATTATTGTTTCTTTTCCACGAAGAAAGGAAAATTTTACAAGACACGTAAAAAAAGATTGAATAAGTAACACTGTATTGCTATATAAATTTTTTTGACAAAACCATAATTCCAATTGATGAAGAATGAAGTATGAAGAAAAAAAAAAAGGATTTCTACAAATGCATATATGAGACAGTATCTGAAAATGTCTAATTTTTGGTAATAGGAAAAGCCAAAAATAAATGTCTTTAGAACCTGTACTTTAATAGCACAAAACAAAGAACAAACATTGAGGATCCAGGAACTGTTGTCTGTAATTCAAAACATTTTAAATGTGGTAACTATAAGGCAATGTGAAAAATAGTACTTAAAGTTCTAGTTCTTTCCTGTTACCAAAGTGAATCAATTAAAAAAAGTTTCTGATGGGAATAAGGAATAAGTTGAAGATACTATTTTTGGTTTACTAGTATAACTTGCAATATTTTATCAAATGCCAATTATTTATTTTAGCATTTACAATACAATAGGTTACGAAATATACTAAAATATAGTCCGATTTGTAGGTAACATGAAAGAATTTTGAGTAACAGGACAGAGTTGGTAACAGACAGGAATTATTTTTCAAAACAATGTCTTCCTTTTTATAGTTTTAGAAAAATACATCATTACAAATTGGTCATAATTAGAAGATAACAGCAAACAATGTCATTTTTCTTTTGAACCTTTCATTTGCAAGATGAAAAATCTGCCGAGGTAATGAAAAATTCAAATACAAATTCCTTTCTGTTACCATCTACTCTACTAGAATGGCACAATGTTCTATGCTGTTATCAAAATTCAAAAACCTGTCTTTTCATTCAACAGATAGTATATTATGTTGAGATTTATTTAATATGATGATAATAATTTATATTAAATGAAATGTATGGAATATAGTGGGTTAACCCTTTGTTTCATCAGTAAATTATCTTTAACATCCTTCATGTTACTTAGGAGATAACTGTATTGTATTTTAAGCTCCGACGGCATCAATTGGTGATTTGATGGTCGCAAATTAAGTTTACTGGCGACGCGTAAGCGGAGCCAGTAAACGGGTATTTGCGACCATCAAATCACCAAATGATGCCGTCGGAGCTAAAAATACAATATTGTTATCACAATTCTAATGAAACCGACAGAAAACAACGTCAAATCATACATTAAAAATTTGTAATACGTCGTCTGCGCTTGAGCGAACATTTCATATCATCAATTGTGAATTGATGTCAGAAAAATTTGTGACGTTATCCAATCAAAATGAACGTTACAAACGATGTTACATTGGAATGATTATTGCTATGCTGTTACTTTTGGTCAGGTAACATGACGGAACGTATCAGAAAGGAAGTACACAGTACTTTTTGGCCTTTCATTTGAATTGTTTGAAACGTAGTGTTCTCTAAATTCTTATCTTGGGTGAGCTCGGATTTTTCAAACTGGTCTCCATTCAAACTATACATGCATATGTGTAATCATACATTCTGGAAATGATGTTATTCTCATTGCATTACAGGAAAATAAATGTTGGTCTTTCAAACGTTTCCACAGGTAAACAAAACCAGTGGTAACAGTAAGGAAATGATCCCTTGGGACAAAGTTTTAAAATAGATTTTATTCAGTTATAACAAAGCCAGATCAATAGGGGATAACTTTCTTATATAAACTATCATATTTGTGACATTTGGAAAAGAGGGACGAAAGATACCAGAGGGACAGTCAAACTCATAGATCGAAAATAAACTGACAACGCCATGGCCAAAAATAAAAAGACAAACAGACAAGTAATAGTACAGATGACACAACATAGAAAACCAAAGACTAAGCAACACGAACCCCACCAAAAACTAGGGGTGATCTCAGGTGCTCCGGAAGGGTAAGCAGATCCTGCTCCACATGTGGCACCCGTCGTGTTGCTTATATTTTACAAATCCGGTTAACATAGTTACTTGATTTTGGATATTCTTTGAATGATTTGATTGTCAGAAAAAACGACAGTGGACAACACGATTTTTCGGGGATGGAACATTTAAATTATAAAATTCTATTGAAAGAAATATAGGGAGGAGTGTTAAATGGTCATTAGTTGGTGCATTATATACTCTAGTTAATACTGAAACTCAAAATTTTCCAAAAAAGATAATTGGATTAAAAAATAATTGCCTAGGAACAATGGAACAAGGAAGTTAGACATTTTCAGATATTGTCTCATATAACAAATTGGGAACATACAACATCGAAATGACCTTGAAAGGAAGCTAAAGTTTAACGCGATATTCTCCGACTTTTTTTACCCTTGCTTAGATGTAGGTTTATAGAAACGTATCCAACCAAATGCCTAAGTCGTACATGTAATGTGGGCTCCTGTTGTTTTTTCTTCTTTCAATTTTCATTTATTGAAGTCAGGTAATAGCATAGAACGATATCAGCAGGCCAAATACTTGATATTGTATTCTTTATCAATGCATTTCCGGCACTTGTACGTCTGTTATCTATCATATCGGTTGATTTTAAGTGTTTTTCTTTTATGTACCTTTTTGTTATTCAACTGGTTACAGTTTAAGAAGTAGATATTTTAGATATCAACACCTATGTTGATTCCGCATCTTAAAATTGTTCATGGGTTTGTCGAAATTAAAGTCAGAAACCTAGTCAGAGGCTTATTTTTTGTTTATCTTAATGCCTTTGTCATTTTTGTCATTAAAGTTTCGAATGCTGATCTTTTGTAACCGCTGTAAGATTTAATCAAAGCTTATGTTGTACTTTTGCATATTGTATGAGCAACTGTCACAAAAATGTATAGATAATACCACGACCAAGTAAATTATGAAAAATAACAAAAAAGAACAATTCTTACATTCACCATTCTGTGCATGTTGAACAAAGCTGTCTACTGACAACTGGTGGAATTTTATACCAGTGTCTGTTTCGTTGATCTTCCGTATTCTGAACTGAAAAATACAAAAGCTTTATATATATGCATGAACATGAAGACCATTAAAAATCTTTACCAATATATATAACATTGCATAAGCATATAAAACCTTATTCTGTTGCATATATATAATCTCGTTCTCATTGACATTATTCTAACTCCGAGCTGACCAGTCTTTGCTCATACTCTTAAATTCCGCGTGTTTTGCGAAGAAGCAGTAATTTCCGACTAAAAGCTAGATCTATAGGGATCGAACCCATGACCTCCAACAGTCGGGGGAGCACTCTATGACGTGACCACCGAGTAAAATAAATAATAAGAATACAGTTATAATGCTTTCAGATTTTGTTTTAAATGATGAAATAAAAAGTTATAAAACTAGATTTCCTGATTCATATCCCCTTACAAAAGCAAAGCCTTTTTAGATTTTTTTTTAATATTAAATAAAAATAACTTCTGTATTTGTAAAAATAATTTAACCGTAACATAAAAAAACCCAAGAAAAGACATTTTTAGACATAAATTACTTTTCGTTATACACATTTGCTCATTATAGTGAAATGTTAATAGAAAAAAAAAAGAAATATGATACAATACATAATTAAGAAGGCAAAATTGATTTGAAGAAATCACCAGTATATTAGTTTTTTAAAAAATATTTTCTGGCTTACATAAAAATACATTCAATAAACCGAATCAACATTTGTTAAGACATACCTTTAGTACAGTTGTGACATTGTGCATCCCAAGTGTATCTGATGTTGACGAATAAGTATAATGATGCTCGTATCCTGTCTCATAATTGAAACCCTCTGTGGGACTCAAAAATAACAGTATGAGAAACAACATTATTTCTGAAAAATAGCTAATATGACATCTTTTCTAAAAATTATATTACGGACAAAACATCCAAGATTTTCAAACCAATCTTTTTGTAAGCTTAGAAGGTTATTTTTACTTCAAAGATTACATTTAGGTTTGGAGAAGTAGTAAAGATAAAACTGGCGAGGCCGATATTGATTTGTCATATCAGAATTGACACTAAGATTTGTTTTAAAGAATGCTTCTATAACAATAAGTTTAAAATTTCTGGTTTAGATATCGAACAAAAAATCTAGTAGCTTGACTTAAAATAGATTGAGATAAATGTTAGAAAAGTAAACACTACCAGGAGAGACTGAAGTTATTTACCTATAAAGAATTTCAATGTAGAAGATATTATTTATAAATATAAATCGCTGATATTTTCTACCTTAGCTTCTGTTCGGCGTTTTACATTTGCGCCGATCTGCATTTCATTTGTGCCGATTTTTTTTTTACAGGTAAATTACAGGTGAATGTTATTTTTCATTTATCATTATAGACATCTTCCGTTCGCCAGTTGTACAAATGTTATTAATTGTCAATCATAACATGTATATAACTGTTATCCTCTGCTCACCACGGGGAGGTGGTAGTAGGATTTTGAGCAGGATAAGTCAATTTAAAAGCACTATGTTCACATAATTTAAAATCAAGAAGTAAAAACCTAAGATAAAAGCACTCTGTTTTTACTCTGTTTATACTAAAATGACGAATTAAAAATCTATTTACAAGTCCATCTTTTCTTTCTCTGGCCAACGCACTGATGCGGGCATTTCTAGAGTTTGCATTTTAACATACGTATTATACTAACGGCCTGGATTTTCTTAACTTAAACATAAGTAACAACGTTTATAACCAGATTTTACCAATATACATACAAGGTATAGTACATGTACAAATATTTAATCACCTGTGTTAAACTGTAAATGCAATTAGGAGCAAATATAAAATCGGCGCAAATGAAAGAATGAAAATGTTTTAAAGTCGGCGCAAATGTCATACGCCCCTTCTGTTACTCTTGTATTCATATTGCCTGCCATATTGCTTTGTACACTTTAAGAATAGTATTATAGTAAGCTGGTGTTTTATTCTGCAATTATTAGAAGAAACAAAAAATACCATTTCCTAAACCTTTACCAATCCGAGTTAGTGTTTCTCTATTGTCCAGTTAGCACATTATTGCTAGACCGACAGTTTTAACTTTTATTTTAATAGGTCAATCCTCATCTTCGCTAGCCAAGGGTTACGATCCACTTCCCTCCTCTCCACCCTTGGCAGATTAAGCCAACATTTTTGATAACAATTTTGCGCCATCTATCGGTAGATTAAAGTCACGCCCATTCCGAATACATTATTCTTGACCAATAGTAGCACTTGAACTCTTCAATTTGGAGGTGAACACACGGTAGCGTCTAGATTTTACACACTTGGTAAAGCAGGAAACGAAAATATACGTTGACATTCATGCATTTGTGCAAGAAACATACACAGGAACTTCTATTAGTTGATTAAAATCTTTCAAATTGTCACTAAATATAGTCGTGATTAGGGATATAAAGATTTGTTGCACAATAAGCACGTGGCAATTGTTTACATACACTTTCTACATTTACACGTGATCATGTTATAGGCGCTTTTTGATTGGATGCAGCGAGTTTCGACTGCAACCAATGAAAATCATTACCTTGTGTCTCCGAAATTTAATCTCAATCCGCCAAGGGTGGAGAGGAGGGAAGTGGATCGTAACCCTTGGCTAGCGAAGATGGTCGAAGATGTGACAAGTCTTGTTATAGATGGCATTAAAACAAATCAACATCCACTTTAAGTTCACTGAAAATACTTGACATTTATTCACCAAATTCTACATCAAGAAATTAAATAAACTGACGTTGTCGTAACCCTTTAACCTCGTGTCTTGCTATATAACTAGTAGATGGTGTCATTTCACTAAATATTTCAACGTTTGGTAACTATGTTAACAACATATTTCCTTTTATCTTACCTCCTATACATTTCTAGGAACATGACTGGTTAAAAGCTACTGTGTAGATACTGTGTTTATTTCATATAGGGTTAGTACATGTCGGCGGGTCAAATTTCAATACACATGATACTCGGTTAGTAATTGTGTTACGTCCCTTTATAAAACAATACGTTGTTGAAAATATGAGAGGTTTCAACAAACGAAGATATTGATGATGAAAAGATTGAAATAAATTCATAAAACATTTTAACTTCAAGATTATACACTCCAGTTGTTCTCTACTTTGGGATAAATAAACAGAATAAATTATATTATAATTCGCAAATTCATTATATACGATAAACAATTACTGTCAATCCAACTAGTGAATATATAAAGTTGTTATATGTACTGTTACTTCTGTTCTAACAAACATACATCTTTTCAGGTAAATGAAACTAGCGTCTGGAATAGTACACATTTTATTTCTGGCGTCTGTACTAGAATAATATAACCATTTGGTCGATTCTGCTTTTGTTCCATATGATATCACTATATATCCTGTATATTCTGACTAACAATGATTCTTATTGGAAATATGAGTCTGTTGATGCTCTAAGTGCGGGGAATAAAGACTGGCAATGAAAGTAACGAGGAAATGTTAGATGAGAGTATACATCCTGATTACAACAGACCATCTACAAAGCCCACAAAGAGCCGTTGCAAGGTTTTCCAATATGCGCAAAGCTTGACACTCTCATTTCGCGCGCCATTGTTTTTTTTTAATTTCTAAGCGGATATAGTTGCATTACATACACCCATCACAGGCAAACGAATGCCTCTCTATAGTATGAGTGATACTTCCGGAGAGAGGAAATACAGGTGCCAAAACATATATACTTCAGTCTCCCCTATGGTTCATAACGAAATTAAAACAGTTAGCAAAAGAGTATTCATGACTTTTGCCCTTTGGGTACGGGCTTTCAAAATCAATGGGTATAATTCAAAGTTTAAGTTTAAACTGATGGCCTTAATAGTGTGCATATTGCCTAATTTGTCTTGCTGCTATTGTTCATCATGTGTGTTTGTGTATTTTTCACTGAATTTCAAAATTATCAAGTTTATATATGTATGAAATATGCACACGGTTAGACAGCATTTTAAATCACTTACAGCTCAACAGAACAGAAAATACTGCATTATTACATTCGCTAATGTAAACAATGTTCATTGTGTCAAACGTAACAGTCTAAACAAGGAACCTTCGACATTAATCAGTACGTCAACAAAGATTTTATCTAAAAACTTTAAAAAGATAAATGCACCAACTGAATATCCTTAAGAAGATCAGAGCCAAGTTGTGAGTGGCTTATTTTGTTTTAAAGAATTTGAGAAGTAAGTTACATTTTATATTTAAATAAGATTGATTTTATTTTGGTTTAATTTTCAAGACAAGTTCAATATGTAATTAAAGAAATATACATATATGAATAAATCGACAAAGAAAGCTTAGCAGACAAAACATATAATCATTAGAATGATAAAATATTTTGGTAACTATTTTGTATAAATTTAGGTCAGGTGGGCCCACAGGTGAAACGATATTTCTCCCAGTTTTTTTATTAACAATAAAGTACAGCTTTCCTTTCGGTTAATGAAATACCAAACCCCTGTGTCAAAATTTGTACTACAGTATTTTCCGTCCAATTTTCCTTAGCAAAGAGTTTTAAAATACAGTTTTATCTTGTATTGAATAAATTATTTCCTACCAACATGTAAGTAAAGTGAGGAAGCACTGTTGACTACCAATTATTAATTTGAGATCACCATGCATACAGTCGAAATACTAAACTGACAGCCAATCGAAATCAGTGGTAGGAAGCTAGCCTAAAGTTTTTTTTTTCTAATTGACAGGGAATGTTTTGAAAGGTAAATATATTGATTATTGTATAATGTAAATATGTTTACTTTCAAGATTTTAGATTCCGTTGTATTTGCCACAAATTAAAACAAATTTTACCTTTGTTATTTTTTTTCTGTCTTGTGCATGCGGGGTTTATGGTATGTTCGGTTAAAATCTTGACCTTGATTTTCGTTTAATTTTCCTCATTTGTCTTTTTTTGGGGGAAATTTCGCTTGCATGAATTATTGGTTGTCCGGCTTACTCCTCCACAATTAGCACGGCACTAAACTTCTGTAATATATTTTGGTGAACTTATACATTCAGGGTACATAAATGAATTGTCTAGTTGACTCCTCTAGCAGATTCTTCTTTTATAGAGTGTGTTTGTTTTTGTAGAGTGTGTTTGTTGTCGGAATTTGTCACAATCAATTGTCACATAAGACGCTAGTTTGGCGCATGCCTGACCTTTTCGTCCATGCTCCATTTTTATCGAGATTTCTGCTTTTTTGAAGTAAAGTGTTCGAGTTAGTGTTTTTTTATTAGTTAATTGTATTCCTGTCTTTAAATTGTCAATCCCATGAAGTGCTGATCACTTTCGGTGGCCCGGCTGTTTCAGATTACGACCATACAAATCAGCGAAACTTTCTTACTAGACGTACTCATATTTGTTTCTTGGAAACTCGATTATCATTAGAAACTTGCATTCAAAACAAACCAATCTTTCATTAGGATCAACACCGGAGCCAATAAATCCACCATTGATGAAAAATGATAAAACTATTAATAAATTTTGGACAGGTTCGGATTTTTGTCTTCAAAGTAAAATAACCTTGTAGAATTATTACCATATACAAAAGTGCATTTGAAGCGCTTTTCTGTATTAGTCGTCATCCGAATCGCTCAAACCTTAATCTTTGCAAAACCTAGATGTAAAATAGAAGACTAAGCAACTTGAATAACAACAATATTTATCGAAGCAGTTTTAATCTAGCTTTTTTAGTATACATGCACTGAAGTTTTTTTTACCGCCTTTCCCTTTTTCCTGGGAAGACATAGAAATAGAATTTACAAATCAAAATACTTTTTGCCTGTTTTCTTTTTTAGGTTTTGAAGGAATTA